GCATTCAGGTTGTGATGGAAAAATCTTGAAAATATCCGCTTTAGACAAGTGTCCATTTCGAATTCAGCCTCCGTGAAGGAGGTTTTACGGATTACTCTCGTCTCAAACCCTTTTCCGGTTATTTTTCTCCCGACAGTTGTGGCAATCTACGACTACGCAAAGGACAAAGACGATGAGTTGTCCTTCATGGAGGGTGCGATTATCTACATCATCAAGAAGAACGACGATGGCTGGTTTGAAGGCGTCTGCAATGGAGTGACGGGCCTTTTCCCTGGGAATTATGTGGAATCCATCATGCACTATGCTGACTAAAATCAGCCACTAGAGGGCGCCCTATTTATTCAGTCATATCTAGACACAAACGTGTATCGACCGACAGAGCTTAGAGAAGTGCATTACGATATGACAGAATGTTCCTTTTTCGGATTGCAAATCAAATATTTACTGTTGATTTTTTTTTTTTGTTGTTGTTGTGGGTGGGCGGGGACTTTAAAGGTATACTAAGATGAAATAAAACGGAATGGTTGAATATTGGTAACATGCTTATGTCCAGTAATGTTCTTTTGGTCTAAAGACGGTTGTCGTATTACACCATTGTATATAATATGAGCAGCTGCCAGTAGGTTGTCTGTAGTGTGTTCCTTTAAGTGTCTTTCACAGTGTCTTGACCAGTTTACACCACAAGTGAACAAGTAGGGATTTATGGTTTCTAAATCAGGTTTTAAATAGTGCCATTATTTTTTTTTTTCCCAGGTTAACTGACACAAGACTAGAGTCATGCATTTTGGATGTTGTATAATGCAAATTGAATTGCTCGTCAGATTACCTCTTTTAGGCTAATGGTCATTCCTGAAACGTACTTAACTTGCTTAAAGCATGCATACAATTTTAAAAAAATGTATTGTAATCTATACTTTTTAATCCATTATGCTTCCATTATGTTGTAATATTTACAGTGAGCACTCATTTTATTTTAAATGAAATGTCTAAACCATTTGTGGATTTGTTGATGGTCTTATAATCTTAAATGCTCTGATTTGTATTTAAACATTTGATATTAAATTTACATTATGAATTTTACATCTGGTTACGTATGTGAAACAAGGCTCTTATTTTTTTTTATCTTAAGAACAAAAGTCTGGAATGTTATCTTGCCCTTTAATATTGATTTGAAATAGTAAACATTGAAATGCCTGAACATAAATTTTAGATTTGGCAAGTCTTCAATCCCCTGCAAAATGTGCTTTTCTGAAATTCACATGTAGGTCTTATTTACTGCTTATATCGCAGTATACTGGAGTCTTTTCCAACAGTGCTTTTTGTGTTGGGGGCATAGTTTCAGCTGTTCTTATTCTGATACATTGTAAGGGTCTGTTCTTCAAGCCTTACTTTTCAGCTTAGCCTTTTTTATTTGCTTGCTTAAAAGTACTACTGGAAGTCATTTCACATTTCAGAAATGGACCATTGTAATTTCCTTTAGCTTTAATTTGAAAAATACCAGTATAACATTGACTATTGAAACAGCGTAAATGAACCCACTACTATGAGTATTGGGTAAAAGTGTTTGAAACACTGGTCCATCATGATGGTTCACTGTAAACATTGATGTTTTACATTTGTCTGTGTCTGAAAGAAATACTTAGGTTTTAAAGAATGATAAATGCTTTCTGACCATTAGAAAACATTACAGTAGGAAATTAGTCATTTTGTACTGCAGTTTTTATACATAGATAAGAATCGTATTCAGTTTGGGCCTTAACATTCCTTTTTATAACATGCACCACTTTTTTTACAATTACCCATAAAGAGAACAGCTGTATCCGTGGAACCTAACTGTTCATGTCTTAAAGAATGACCACTAATATATAACATTTCAGGATACTGCAGCTAACAACACCTTGATACTATGTCTGCTTTGTTAAGCGTTTAAAGTGTTCTGTGACGTCACTGTCAGGAAAACAATCTGACATGACTCTTTACCTTTAATTTGTATATAACATGTTAATTGAAATTTATGTACAGTCTTTTATAATAAATCATTCTCCTACAGACATTGTAACTGTGGTATTTAAAAAAAAAAGAGGCAGAATCTTGATTTAAAAAATATTGCCTTTATGTAAAACCAAGTACAAGAGGTGGGGTCAGGTGAGGTTTTTTTTTTTATTCCAAATTCCTCTTACTTGCCTTTCCATATATTTTCTTTCACAGCACTAGAATCGGCTTGGCTTACAGAGGAAACCAGAATGGACCCCAAAAGTAGTTGGTTACACTGTAAAAGTAGATTAAGGCCTTGGTTGTTACCGTGAAGTTACAAAATGAGAATAATAACCTTGTCACTAGACTGTATGCGATTTCACACTATTGGCCTTGCAGTGTGGACGGATTTTTAAGTGCATTGTAAACATATCCACACCCCCGTACTTTTCCCTCTGCGGTCATCGGGAATTTCCTTGATTAAAAGTGTTTTCTCCTAGGATAACTGTTTTAAGGAAAGTCTTTGGATAAGACAGAACTGTTTGTGACAGTAACAGGTACTGTGATGTTGGAGAATTGACTTCTTCTTCTCTGTGAACCTACACAGAGTGCTCCTGTCCTTGCAGGCCCAGGGAAGAGGAGTAGCTGCCTCAGGCGGAGGAAGGTTCAAGGTTCACTTGTCACGAGTTAGAATGATTTCCGGCAGGTGGACAAGTGCCTCCCTCTCTGGGGAGGGACACAGCTTGCGAATCTGTTGGATGGCCTCTTGGCAGTAACGGTGGGCGAGGTAGCTGGTTTGCTGGACACCATCACTCTAAAACAAAAGGAGGGGGGAGGGAAAAAGGTACTTTACAAATGCGCTTTGAAACTTTCACAGATATTTAAAAGACTTCAGGCACTATCCCTAGTATTTCAATTGAGAAGTAACGAAAGCCTGTTTTTTTCCCCATACCTGCAGTACGTATTGCCAGGCACGCTCCACATCTCCTGCAGAACCGAATCTCCGCATTATCATTGCATGCAGTTCAGGAAACTGAAAAATATTTATAGGAATTTGTCATCTTCATGAATCGGTTGTTTATATATTTAAGTATGACAATTTTAAATAGGCATTAATTAGTAGCTGGACAGACACCTTGCAGGTTGACAGTGGGGTAATTACCCGTAAGGCATGGAAAAGCCCTCTAACCTTTAATACTAGCTATAGTTTATATAGCCACTCTTATAACAAATGCATTGAAAACAGAAAATCCTGTTACCCATTTGTGTTAACTACATGAAAATTTAACAACCAAAAATGAGTCAGTTTTGCCCCAGTGAAACAAGCCCAACCTGTGATTTTGTTCTTTAGATTAATGTAAAATTTTACATTGTGATTCTTTTGTATCTGCTGCCATTGCATAGTATTTTTACTAATTCTTTGTGTATATAAACCAAGTGTATGTGTGACAAATTCATTAGGTCAGAACATATGGAACACATTTACTCACAAACCAAATTCACACTCTAAGGATGCACCTCACAGATTAAGCTGTTTTCACAAGCCCCAAATGGCAGATTTTATGTGCGCCGCTGCACACACAGAGAGCTTTTGCACAAGAAAAAAAAAGATCACAGGGGAAAAGACACAGTCACAGTGAAAAAAAAAAAACTAACATATGCCTACAAAGCAAATATTACTAATAATTAGTTTGTCCAGTATTACTATTATGGTTGTTGTGCAGTATAATATTCAAAATAGAAAGGGTCTAGCATGGAATTGAATTTTGGTCTAAGGACATTTTAAAATTCTCAGTCTACACATACCATGTTGAAAATATAAAATCTTGCAGCTGTTTGAGTTTTGACTAGTTTCCAAACTATCTTATAGAAGACACAAGTATAAGATCTGAAATTGACTAAGAGCTCTGATATTTCTTTATTTAAAACAGACGTTTCCTCTTAAGGGGAATGGAAGCCCGGATGGTTTCTGTTAGCATGAACTAACAGTTTAGTGATCTACTCTTTGTTCACGCAACATTCAGTGTCTTGTTTTCGCCTCCATAATCAAAGCACTCCGTTTTAATGCTCTCTTCATTTACCCTATTGAAAGGAAGTGACAACATACACGAAAAACACAAACATCATCTTGGAAAGAAATGTTCTCTACACTTTTTCTTTGTAGAAAAAAAAATTCTTGAGTGGGCATTTGAGTTGGGTCTCATCTGGAGACTGGATTATCAGTAAAAGGTGAGTTTAGACATTTGTTCACAACTTAATGGACTGAAAAGAACAAAGAAAAAGATTGATCAAATACTGCAAGCCATGTTCATAACCAAAACCACACTTCTACATGACTGGACTAATCTATATATTGCTTTTTAAAAAGGATCCTTACTTGGACAACATTTTCAACAGGTAAAGTAAGATTCAGGAGCAACATACCTGTTGGCAGGCAAACAAGACCGGACCTGTAGCCAGGCCCAGCCTCAGATCAGCTGCCGAGGGCTTCCCTAACTGATTCGCACAAGACGTGAAATCCAACACATCATCTATCAGCTGCAAAACAAAAAATTGTACAACGCGTTTGGACAGTGGTGCATAAGCCTTTTATTTTAATAGCTTAGAGGAAGTTCCCCCTCCCCCCCGGGGACTCAGTACTAATTCCTATCCTGCTAAACTTACTACAATTTTCAGAACCTTTCCTAATTTATTTTCTATAACCAGTTTCTAAGCCTTGATACAATGCCAAGTGTATTCTTCAAAAATGCCTACCGTACATAACAATTACCTGAAATGCGATTCCAATATTCTTCCCATACTGGAATGCAATTTCATGTACCTCTGGGTCTGGACTTCCAAGGATCGATACCTTGAAACAATAATAAGAACATCCAGTATAACTTAAGCTTTTTCAGTTTGTTTTCCAAGATTTACAGTGTATCCATTGCTTATGCCAAGACAGAACGTACATACTGCTTTACAACTGTTCGCTATAAGACTTGCGGTCTTCTTAAAGGTTTTCTCGAGGTAGTGCTTAAATCTCTCGTTCTCGTTTTCTTTTGAGCCGAGCTGCATGAATTCACCTGGAAACAGAAAGGTACAGTGAGTCTGACAGGATGGGCTCCCTCCTTTGGAGGCATGTGGCTGGAACAAATTTGAACTAACATGTTAAAGAATTTTGCAGCCTGAAGATTAAATAATGCAGGTGAATACATGTGTGTTTCAAACACGGGCGAGTCCCTCCTGTCCACAGGTAGCTTCATAAATCGGGTGGACAGCCTTGAAGGTGGACGACGCCCAGTTCTTACCTCGCACTAAGTCGTCAATGACTTGAGACAAGACTGCCACCACAGTGTTGTTGCCAATTCGAGCGAGAGCCATGGAGGCTTTAGAGAGGATGAAGTCACCTGCCAGGATAGCCTGGGGTAAAGATATCAAATACGGTTAATGAATGTGACACTGGATAAAATAAGAGGGTTTGTATGACATCCAAAAGCAAAAGTTCTCCAAACCCCCACAGCACTTCAAATATTTCTACAGCTAAATCTGAAGACGCCCTTCACCAGTCCGCAAGCTCTTGGTGTGCACGCAGTGTAACTCTAGAACCAGGTTTAAGTTTATTGTCGTATGTACCCTAGTACACTGACATGCTTACTTGCGCATTTTCCTCACGTGACAAATGACACAAAATATATGACATCACAATTCTCAGAGACCAGAACAGGTTTGGGGAGGATTTCAGATATGGAGTTTAGCAGCCTTATGACTGGGGGGTAGAAGCTTTCTTTGACCCTAGAGGTCCGGGCTTTTATACTCCTATAATCTTCTGCCAGAAGGAAGAAGAGAACCAGAAGTTTATACACACTCAGAACTACTCACGTCATCTTCACAACCTGGGCCTTACGAACTGCAGGGCATACAGCACTGATCAGGATTAGGGACAACGGGAGCAAACCCGAATGGGCTCACCTTTCTTTCTCCCCAGATTTCGTTGATCGTGGTTTTGCCTCGCCGCGTGTCGGAGCCGTCGATGACGTCATCGTGGACGAGGCTTGCCGTGTGGATCATTTCCGAGATCATGGCTATAGAGCGCTGGCATGGAAGCAGATCCCTTTGGAAGATGGAGACATTCCATTCATTCTGTCCGCGGTCACAGTGCCCTCCAAGTATTGGCACAGCACAGTCAGAAATGATTTTTGCTTTACTGCCAAGCCATCTGTGTTTGTGATCGGCAGATTAACATATTGAGAACGGTCTATAGTGCCTTGCCAAAGCAATAAGGCTCTGACTTTCATGTACGATTCTGCAAAATTCCTAAACGCTGCACGCACGTTGGTTTAAACTTAAAATTGTCTTCAAAACCTAAATACTCAAGCCGAAGACTTCCAAGAGTAAGATCAGTTGAAGGTCAGCAAAAACTAAATAAAAAAACTAAATAAATGTTCCGATTGTATCTTTGAACCTGTGACCTCAATATTTGGTGGAAGCACCTTTGGCAGCAGTTACAGCCACACGTCTTTTTCAGCAAGTCTCTAAAAACCCTCTAAACTCTCTTAGATCTCTAAAATCAAGTCTTTCCACAACTTCCCTACAGGGTTCAATTCAGGACTTTGATTGGGCCACTCAAGAATAGTCACTTCCTTATTCTCAAGCCGATCCAATGCAGCTCTGGCCTTGTGGGTTGGATCATCATCCAGCTGAAAGGTGAGTTTTTGTTTCAGTTTTAGGTCTGAAACAGGTTTTCCTCTAAGATTTGCCAGTATTTTACTCCATCCTGTTCTCAGTCCTCATTGAAGAGAAAAGAAACTACACCATAATGCCACCGCCATCTTGACAGTGGGGGTGGTGCTGACTGAGTGATGCTCTATGTTGGGTTTCTGCCAAATGTTCCGTTTTGCATTTAGACTAAAAAGTTCCAGTTTTGTCTTGTCTGACCACTACAAACATATGGCAAAAGGTTTTGAATCCTAAAGGTGCTTTGTTGCAAACCTCCTATGGGATTTGAGATGGGTTTTACACTCGGTCATTCAGGCCAGCTTTCTGCAGTGACTGGGATATTCTTGACTTACAGACATTTTCTCCCACCTCACCTGCTTCCCTCTGTTTCAAAGTCAATGCCGGCCTCGCAGGTGCACACCTAACCAGCTTCCTCCTCGCCCATTTAGGGTCTGAATACTTTTGCAAGGCACGATAGATGTTATTTATAGGAAACGCCATGCATGCGCGATCATATTATAAGAGCAACACCAGAGACTTAAAGATACTTTGAGTTAAACCCTGTGAACCCAGTTCACAGTACATACTGTATTGGGAAATAATCACTTTAATTAAATGCCAGAGTGTAAAAGTCAGTTTTTAATTTCTTATCCCTTTTAGATTGTAAGGTAGAAACAATCGTTTTGACTCTAGTGTCCCAGTACTTTTTAAGTCTTTAACAGTTTCCAACAATGGCAAATCTTCCCATTCAATTTAGTCCACAACTTCCGCATAAAAAACAAATGATTTATTTGTATTTGCAAGTTCGGAAAAGGCAGCCGAACCAACTTCACTTTTCTTTTTTCAGTTTTCTCCTGTCTTTGTTAAAGGACGAAGAGGTTTTTTTAACCTCTCAACTTATTTCAGCTCCAGCCGTCCCACGGAACTGACCACGAACCACAAGCCACTCCGCCAGCGGTTTGGGGGCGTGGTTATGGCTCTGGATGGCTGAGGGCGCTAACCGCCAGGTCGGGGCGCTGCTTGAGCAAGGCGCTAAGAAAATGCCCAGCCGCACGAGTGGATAAAAACGTCAACAGCTTTGGATAAAAGCAGCATTATTAATAAGTATGAAAACGGAGGTCAAAACGTCGCCCGCACTTCTCCCCTTGCCATAACTTCACAGATACAGCCTCTCGTCTGTCCGAGAACAGCCTGACCCACTTCTGAAGAGAGACCCCCTGTTCCCGCGGCCTCGGAGCCCCGACTCCAGCCCTCACCGGTCCCGGCCGCTGTGGACGTTGCACGCTCGGGCCATCAGCGCCACAACCATTGGGCGAAAGGCCTTCCCCTTCCCATCGAAGTAATAATCGCACAGGGACTTCAGCTCCAGTTTGGAAACGAGCAGCTCCTACCACACGAGAAGGAAAAAATCGGTTGAGCCGGACGGAATTCAGCGTGCCAGCCCCGGTCTGCACACCCACTGGGCTCCCTGTTCCCGGCGTCTGAGCCTTCGCAGGCAGTATGGACAGTTCCATCCTGCGCAGCGTTACAAACAGCACACCCCCTTAACAGTTTCAATCAACGCAGCCTGGGTCAACCTCGGAAATATGTTTTTTTTTTCTCACCAACAGATCTACAGACCCCAAGACAGCCTAAGTTCCGGGCCCGAGACCTAACCAAATATTTAAATGCAAAACTGAAAGAAAACAGCAACAAAGGGCCATAGGGATATACCAAACTGGAGGGCTGGTGAATACTGGGACACGTGAGTAACCTGTAGCATGTCTGGCTTCTAAGAAAAACAAACTGGTAAAAAGTGACACAACGTCTACTTGTTTTGCCATTTAAAACATGATGAACTGCCCAGAGCTAGCTTGCAGTACCACAAGCAATAAGTGTACATGGGGGATATTAGAAAACAAAACGCAAGAGATACCAGACAAACATCACATGTTTACCAACTAAAGCACGCGGATTCACCTTTTTGATATCGTCATACAAATTCTTCAAGTCTTTCTGCACCAGTGGAAATGGATCCTTCAGGTTTGCGTCACTATGTAGCCTGTTGCAGCAGCGTGGATTTTCCGTAGTGCATAAGGATCTGAAGTTACATCTGGGAACAGGAGAAACCCCGGTTTTAGCTAGCGTTTTTAAAAACCTCCGCCTTCGGTCATCGAATATCTCCAGAGGTCTGTGGAGTCGAACTCACGCAGCAGGCTGGACAGGAAGACAGGCCCTCGCAGGGACCACACACTCTTTGACCCATGTGTACTCTCCACGGACAAAAAAAAAAGAACATGCACACTCCACACACAAGGCAGCCACAGCTGGATTAGAACCCAGGACCCATGAGATGTGCCAAATGCCACGTCTGATTTTTGTTTTTACAAGAAAAACTCAATTTGTGCTCGACTGAGTAACAAAACATTTAAACGCACTGTAACGACATGACATATACCTCCACCAAACACTTGGTTTCTTGATTACAGCTGATTGGCTTCTACATTGCACCTGCAAAAAAAAAAAGGAGGACAACTTGGACAGGGTAAAGAAACGGAAGTTCCTTTTAAAAGTTATATCACGCTACCTTTTCACCTCCAATAGTTAATTTATCTCCACTCGTTCTTAGGCATACAGGACTTACTAATGAGTTCTATGGAATTCATGAAGGTCTTATTTCAATTTACTAGCACAGTGGTGAAACACCCCGATCTGAAGGGAGTAAGTCTGTACTACGAGGGAATTTGACCTCTTAAGGAGGGGGGGAGGAGTGACAGAGCTGCCAGGCTAATGGCTATAGTAGTGCACAATACATTGCGAGTACCCTGAACAACTCGTCTCCGTTCATTTTTATAAAGTAATGCAAGACGCATACAAGTCGGATCTGACCGCGAAACGATTTATTCCCCCATATCACGGAGCGGGCTGGAAGTACTCATTGACCTTCTCCGGTGTGGACATGCCTGCCCACAGACTGCCTCGCCTCACCTTGTTTCCCGCACCGGCGGCGAAGGCGGCGGCGGCAGACCCCAGGCCAGATGAAGTCCCCTTTCTTCTCAGGCTCCCTTCCGCGACCGCAGCAAACCTCCCACACACCGCACTAAGCAGCGGCGCCCCGCCGAGTCCCGCAGTCCACCTGCAGCAGCGCCTCCACGGCAGCGCCATGTTCTCTCACGGCCCCTCCTCCGCCAGGTTACGGAAAAGAGCCGCTCAGCCGGAAACGGAAGCGCGCAAAGGCCGAAAAGGGCGTAGCTGGGCAGGAAAGGGTTATTTGTTATATGTATATATGGCTGCAGGACAAATAGCTCGGGTAGTGTTGTGAAACGAAACCTGGTGTCTGATAGATACGTACGGGGCGTATCTCAGGTGTTCAGGTTCGTTTTTTAACTGAGAAAGCGGACGGGAAGGCGAAATGTGAAACGGGAAGCGAATCAACTTAAGGTCTGGGTACGGACAGGCTAGCTGTCAAAGTTAATTGTGATGTTGTCGTTGCCTTTCTAAAACTTATTTGGCAGTGCAAACTTGGAAGTGAAGCTTGAAGATCGGTTCTCAAGTCAATCATGTGTTGGCTGTTTGCCAAAGCGATCAGAAAGATGAGAAATCACTGAAGGCAAACCTGGGCGATTAAAAAAAAAACAGCACAGCTAGTAATAGCAGTCAGGATGCTGATGGACATTTATCTCCTCTTTAACATTTCGAGTAGCGTTTTTTTCTGCCCTGTGAAACTCCCTGTTTTAATTTGTTCCAGCTTGCCCCTCTCAGAAGTACATTAGCTAAAACGTCTTACAGGGTTAAAACGAGTTCACGGACTTGCAAGAACCTGTTAACGCATTTTAACATAGGTGCCGTAAATCTGTAGGTATTTTTTAAACATTTGTTAACTATAAAGTATACTTTGTTACTATACTACTACACTATACTACTACTATACAAGTTCAGGTGGGTAACTGCGTCAGCATGCGTAGGCTGCAAAGGAACAAGTAATAGGTTTATTCCATGCTGAAAAAAAGAAGACCACACAAAACGTTTTTTTCAGCATGGAATAAACCAATTACTTGTTCCTTTACTACTATAAAATACTACTTTCTATTGTGCGCAACAAGGTCTCGGGAGTGTGTGGGTTGTGATTTGGATAAATTCTAGAGTTAGGAATACTGTAATTCAGTTATAACGGCCAAAAATTAATAAGCAGTGCCTTTTCTCTTATTTTTCTTATTACATGATGTCCTGTACAAAGTATTGTCATACCCGTGTCACAATTAGAAGTTTTCAACCATTTCTTGCTTTGGTCAGCACCAGTCTTCAGTTATTTCCCCAGATACTATGGTTTTTGTAATGTTCTGTGCTATATTGTTCTCGTAATTTTGTTGTTCAATAAAGAGACTCGGAGAATAGGCGTGAATATTCGTGTGCCTTTACTTAACCGACAT